ATTCTCAACACTTCAATGTGATTGATTGTTCTATTAATTTGAATATAGATATGGTAAATTAATGAAATAAATTTGGATTAATTTCACACTCGAGAGAGATAATTAACAACGTTTGGAAAATCAAGTCGAATAATTGATAATACGTAGATGGTTAAATTCCGTATTGTGAAATAACTAGATGAAGATTAAGGGAAATCAGAATTCCAAAACTTCTATAATCAATTTTCCTCAAACTTTTCTTTAATTTCTTTTAATTGCTCATCACACTTTAGTTTAGACTTTCAATGAAAAATGGATGAATTTGAGTGCTTGGCTTTAGAAATTGGTTTAGCTTTTAGTTTGCTTAATCACAAATATAAAAATTTTGAGATTTGACACTACTAGTTATTTTATTACTTGCTCTGACACCATATTCCATATACTTGCGGGATGATAGTCAAAGAGAACGCTACCATATTTAATTTTTTGGGCCAATTTAATCTTCAACACGAACTTTTCACATGGATGTGATACGCTATTTTAATTCCTTGACTCATTCTTTTGCTGTGCCATTCAGGACTATTGTCCTTCGTAGCTTAGTCGGCCTAAAGTACCATTTCATTCATATAATTTGTCTACATACAAGTTCTATAGACTCATAGACTCTTGATACCGACCGTGCATTTTTACATAAGACTTTCCCTATCCTCGGCTTGATTCTCTTTCAATGGCTTTTGGACGTGTTTCTCGACTTCTTGATCCTTTGACTGGTGAAGGATTTTTGGTTGAACATGTCCCCAGTCTGTTCCATTTTAAAGAGGTTCTTCAATCTGGCAATCGCAAGTTGAGCCTCGAATGGAAAAGGACAAGTGTTCGAAAAGGGTCCCGTGCTGTTTTTGAAGTACATGCCTCCTTTTTGCATCATTGACAATGTATACATGCTTCTTTTTCTAGTCATGGCTTGGTGATTACTTTGAGGATGTTATAACATTAAAATACCAGTTATGTGGTCCATTTCAAGTGGTAAAAGTTCAAGCATGAAAGGTCTAATTCAATAAAGTATTGCACCAGTTTAAAAATATTAGCTAAAAATTAATGAGAGAAAAAATATTTCAAATTATGAACCTTTAGAATTTGTTGGTGCATGTCTTGTGCGAATGACGTGTCTCAAATTCAGATTAAGAAAGAGCCTTGAATTTTCTTGTCATGGCGACGTGATGATTTGGGTAGGTAAAATCGGATAGTTCGATGTGATTGTATTTCTAATAACTGAATGTATACCAATACCTTACGTATAACAAATGATGTTACTTGAATTATAGAAAACTTGACCGCATGGCCATTCAAGTATTAAAATCTTAAGATGCTTTTCTTTCAATATTTTATGGAGTTTAGACAGCTACTACATTTTAAAAGTGATGATACATGCTTGATGTTTGTGAGTCAGCCATTGATATATTAGGCTTTGGTAAGTGGTAGCATTAAAGGATACAAGCTTGGTGGAATATGAAAAAGGCAGAATATGAAAGTGACTCGCCATCTATTGATTATGTGTTTTTACAGAAAGTATGAGTCGTGGATCGTCCATGTGAGGTGACCTAAACAACAAGATATTAAAAGGGTTGAAGAGAGTGGTTTGAATTTGAAATTCAAACCTACAACTTCTTATAACCACCTTAATTCCCATACAACCTCTATTGATTATTGTGTAGAAAAAGTGAGAGAAAAGATGGTGAAATTCGTATATGTAAATACACCAAAATTGAAAATGTCCTAAAATCCGGATTGTGACAATTGAAGAACAAGAGTGTGCAAATTTTGGAGCTTTAAGATACAAGGTGATTCAACTACACAAAGACTTGGAATTCATTCCTTCAAGTAAGGATTCTTGACCCATAATTTATGATTATAATGCTGCGAATTCCTACAATATACGAAGATATTCACCTGCAGTAACTACCCTGCTTGTCCAAATTTTGAATGTAGCTTCAGCAATTTTGAGAGGTTTTCCAATGGAAGAACATATGGCGAAGAGAGCACTTTTGTCAACAATATCATAAGAGTAAGGGTAGAAGGGTATCCAAATTCACGACTAGAGTACCTTTTCTCCTAGGGCACATGTATGAGTTCATTTCTAGACTCTCTTTTGGGACTACCTTCAACATACCAATACGGTTTAACAAATTACTTCTAACATCCGTCAATCCTCCAAATAACATCTTTTGAAATCAAAATGTGGAAAGAACCTTGCTTATCTTGATCATTGGAGGTTTACCTTGAGAAAATTGTCCAATAATGGCATATTTGAGCGGGAAGCAAAGCTTCTTAGTATCTACCCCTAAAATAGTCGATTAGAGCCCCAGCTTTGAAAGTAAAGTATAAAGGAATAGGGATGGAGTTTGATGAGGGGATGGAAATCGAGGCAATAATTTGTTTTAAAACTAGGGAGAGGGGAGGAGTTTCGTGGTGGTGGTGGTGGTAGGAAAGGACCACAGGTAGGCGTTGATGGTTGGTAGCTTGTTGGCATTGGAGGTTGGCCATGGAGGACTTCTTAGCTTAACTTGTCCATTTCATCCGTGAGGAGTTGAACGTCTAAGTACTTGTTTATAATGTTCTATCAAAATCAATTCTATAAACAGGAAAAAAAAAAAAATCTACTTTCAGGACAATTACAACATATTAAAAATCTAAATGAAAAGGCTAGCTAGTTCTTTGATTATTTTGGGCAGAGTTTGGCTGAACGGATCACCTATTTTCCTCTTTTCATACTGTTATTGCAGAGAAAGGATCAAGCACTTGTTTCAGAAAATTTATTTTACCCCATGTTCTACTTCAACAAGTTGTACATAAAATTATACATGACAGGCTGTGATGCCATTTTGAAGTGGTTCAGTCCATGGGCTATGATGAAATTGGGCTAAGCCCACCTGTTGGTATTAAATTGACCATTGCCTAATAACTCAAAATGGAATATGTCAAAACCTAGCCCAATTATGGATGACACGTGTTGTTCTAGACCGTTGATCACTTGCTGAGATCCACGGTGATGAATGCAGGTATTTAAGGAGCCTGAGTAGTTGCTCTAATTAGTTTTTTCATCTAGTTACTACAAGAAGGTTCTGTGTTTTCTTTCTGAGTCACTTCTCATTCTCTTTTCGTCTTCTGTGCGTCATCCTAAAAACATTGAATCTAAGTGATTTGAGTCTTTGTGATTCTTTGTTTAATTGTTTAGAGTTGAGATCAGTTAGTTGATTCTTGATCCATTGAAGTAATTGCCGTTGTCTGTTCAGTTTTTGAGGATTGGGATTTGTGGTTGTTTCGTTTTGTATAGAAGGGTACAATGTATTTCTCAGCCCAAACATAATCAATCCCTGATGTTAATGATCTTTTATTGATTGTTTGTGTTTTTGAGTATTTTGATTATGTTTCGAGTTGTATCAATACAAAATTAGCGTCCACATCAAAGATCCACCTCTATTTTGCTAAAAAGTTACGTTGATATATTGGCAATATTTAAATAACTTGATATATATATGTTCAAGAAAAAATACATGAAATATAAATTCCAGTTATCTCAAAAAAGGAAAAATCAACCGACATGAATGGAAGCAAAAACTAATTGGGGTTTCCTATTAAAAGAGCACATATATAGTTGTGCTCACACTAACATTTTCAGTTTAGGATCTTCCTCAACAGGTATCAAGAAGCCAAATGAACTACTCATAATAATGAATGAGTTTATGGAATAATTTGATGTGTAGAGAGGCTTTCATGAGAACAAGAACAAGTTTCGATAGGTATATTCATATTTTCTAGTGAAAACTACACTAGATCGGCAGGGGCGGAGATAGGGGTGGGCTGGGCTGGGCTGTCGCCCACCATTGTCCACCCAGCCCAAGCCAAATTTTGTTTAAGAAAAAAAAAAAATTTTGGTTATAGTTCATTTTTTTCTACCGTCCAACTTAGTAGCCCACTGTCCAACCCAATAGGCCCGCGTACCATTGAATCATGGCTCCGCCACTAAGTTCGAGGCACCACTCTCCATAACAAAATATTTCGCAAGAAGCCGTACATATAACCTAAACAAACTTTGATGAGTAACAAAACTTGAGGCTTAAAAATTTTATTATCCATCGACATACAAAGAGATAAGAATTTCAACAAGTTAGATGAGAATTCTCAATATCCAGAAAGTCAAGTTAGAGCAGTTACACCTAGGTGAAGACATTGACGGTATTCGTTAAAACTGAATTATATATTTACTTAAAAGGGCAACAAGAGCTTAAAAAACTTCTTAAGTAATGCCATAAGGAGTCTCTCCCTCGATCGCTCTCTCTACACACTTGTATGATGACATATACATAGATTACTTCTTCATTACATTTCACGAGAATGGCAAAAGTTCTTGGAAGGAAAAAGGGATGACTAACAAATTAGTTGGGGTTTTCAAGAATAATTTGAGGGTTCTATCGACAACCAGAAACGACTAATTAAAATGGTTATCCTTCAACAATTTTGAAAGCGATTTGACTTCTAAAATACCTGAAAATCCTTGATTTAACATTTTTCTTGAAGAAGAAAGCTGGAGGTAGAAAAGGAATCTATGTGCTGCTAATACATGTAATAAGACGACTAGTCTATATCAATACATGTTGTGGCTACCCCAGGTGGGGGTTAGGGGTATTGTCTGTCTTCCTATTTCAAAATATATTTCTTGACGCTGATATTGAATATTTGGCCATAATTACCTAGCAAAAATGATATTTTAAATGAAAAGAAATGTATTAAGATTTAAAATGATAAATTATTTTAATCAGAACAGGTGAAGAAGTTGAAATAAGGAAAAGTTATGTCATAGAGTCTAAACCTTGGGACATTTCTAACTCAGAAGTCATGAAAAGGAACAAGAAGAAGCAAAAGGATTTATCACAAATCAGAAGGCAAAAGCCAAAAGGCCAAAACAATAAACTGATCAATATACAAGATGGGAGGATGATCTACCGATTTTCTGACCTTTGGACCTAATATTGTTGCCGGCCGGCTGAGTTTCCGGTCCATGCACCGTCCATTGGAAACTGACCATTTGGCATATTCAGTGGCAAATTAAGAAAAGGAAGCCCCATAGATGGATCAGGAAATTGGCCGCTGCCACCACCACTTCCACTGGATGGCTGCGACAACGGTGGCTGCATCTGAAGTGCCTCGTCTTCGTCCAACGGAAGCTTCTCGTATGCCACGTTAGTGAAGGAGGCAGCGATAATGATTACCGGTCCAGAAGCAATCAAAGCACCGATCACATTTCCGCCAACAACCTGGCCCTGGCCACCGGCTAAATATATTGTCAAACTGGTGGCACCTGGTGGAGCCGGTGGAGGCAAAAAGGAACCCGACAAGGATAATATCTCAAAACGCCCATGGAGTGTCACCACAGAGCCGGCAGCAGCGGGCTGCCGCAAACTCACGTTGTTGACCGTGCCTGTTCCACTCAAAATGCAAATCCCTCTCTGCCTCTTCCTTGCGTAAAGGGCCACTGCCTCAAACACATCACAGCCATTGCCGACTTCCAATATGTGAGCACGAAGCGTATTTGCGCTCTCTCGGGTGATAATTACAGGCGGTTTTGGCTTGTTTTTGGAACCCGGTGGGCGGCCCCGCGGCCTACGCGCACCCATATCGCCTGAACTTGTATTGGAGGTGATTAGGTCGAGCCCTTGATGCATATTATCTTCGTTTTCACCAGAAAACTGGTTTCTGGTACTTTCATCTTCAGAATCTACAGGTCTTTGGAGGTGGAGATCAGACCTGTGTAGCTGAGGAACAAAGTGAGCAGCTGATCCTAAGTCCAAACCAGCCATATACACTACAACAAAGAGAAACAGCAAACCGAGAACAATAAAGTATGATAATTAAATTAAGCAAAAACAATAAAAAATAACTGAATTTTTTATGAGTAAAGAAGTTAAAGATCAACAATTAAAACCCTAGAGCAGACAGAAAACATATCGAATCGATTGGAGAGAAAACAAAGGACGACGAAGAAGAGTAGAGAGAGAAAGCAGACGCAGACGCAGACGCAGACGCAGACATTCAGATAATTTAAAGAAAACATATAAAATTAGATATATTCAAAGACGAGAGAAAAATTACATAATTATTGTTTTTTGGATTTAAAAATGGATTAACTTGTTGTTAGGGAAAACAACAAGGTAAGTGAGGCTGTATGAATAATATTAAATGTGTCTATGTTTCAAGTGTGGAAGAAAAGATGTAATGATAATGTTGCATTATTTTACGTGTGATTAAGGTTTCGAATTATTCCCAACTACCAAATGACACAAAAAAAATTGTTCATATTTCAACTAAACAAGCCGTAAAAACTACAACTGCATTAAAAGTCAAATACGGAGAAATATACTTATATGCACTGAATCCGACCTCTAATGAAAAATAATTCACTATATGCTATGAGAGTGTCTTGAAGACGAAGTTTAAATAAAAAATTGCTCTGAAAATTTAAGTTTCAAATAAATAGTGCGTTTGAAATAAATCGTTGAATATGGTTGAGATGTGTTTTTTCCAAGAAAGTGGAAGAGGAGACGGATAATCAAATTTGCCAATGTCCGGCTGTTTTTCTGCTGTCTGCATATTCTACAATGATGATTTTATTTATTTTTTGACTTCAAACGGTAGCTTTTATTGACTAGTTAAAATTTCAAAATGTCTCAAAAACATCAAAATAAAGCCTTTCTTGAGTTGTCTCAAGGTTATGAGGAAGATAGTTATAGCCCTTGTAATGATATCTGAGTTTAAGTAAAATCCTCAATTCCAATCTCCATTGTGATCATATTCATTAATTTTCAGGAAAATAAAAATCTCCATAGCAAAATATGCATCTTGTTCTTTGCTGAAGTTTATTATGTTTCCGATATTGTCATTCAATATGTTGGCAAGAAGTCGAGAATTTTATTTATTTTTTGCTTAATAAAAATGAATATGTACTTAGTTGCTTGCACTATGGTTGACTCAAGTTTTGGTTTTCCTCTCAATGTTAGGGGAAACTGAACTAATAATTTAGGGGTTGTTCTATTTATATTTCAATTTTTAGTTTTGAATTCATTTTTATTTTGCGTATAGAGTGTTCATTTTGAAATTGTTAAAAAAACGTTCTGTTTGTCATTTTGAAAAATTATTTTTAAAAATAAAAAAATGAAGTTTTGTCTTTATTTTAACTAAAAAACAGCCAAAACGACTTTTTTGGCCTTTTTTCATTTTCTTTGTAAATTTTAAACTCGTTTTCGAAATTTCGTTTCTGAAAATATGTAAGTAAACATGTTTTTCAGTATTTTCAAAAATTAAAAATTGAAAATAGCAAAGAGAACATGCACTTATTTACCTTTAATTTGAGATTCAATTTTCTATGTTCACAAAAAACTATTGACTCGAAATAGCTAGTTTGAGAGAACATGCCCTTGTTTACCTTTAATTTGAGATTCAATTTTCTATGTTTACAAAAACTATTGACTCGAAATAGCTAGTTTGAGAGAACATGCCCTTGTTTACCTTTAATTTGAGATTCAATTTTCTACGTTCAAAAACTATTGACTCGAAATAGTTAGTTTTGTATTTTCTTCGAGTTTCGTTCTTATGTTGAGAATTTGGCTTTAGCTCCCTCTCCAAGGTATTTTATACTTGTGCATATAAATGAGATTTGTCTTTCTAGAACTAAAGAGGACATTTTTGTGATTTTGCGAATATTAAGTGCTTGCGTGGAAGTAATTTTTTGAAAATAATTTTTCGTCACACTCATTTCTGATTACATATTTTTCAAAAGGTCATTTTCATCTTTCGAAATAATATTATCCTAATTTGTAACCACATTCTCCAAAAAAATCATTTTCTTTAATTTTACTTCCAACAAGCACTAACTAATAAAATTAATTAACACCATTGTTCTATGATAGAATTAATTAATGATGATCACTGAATAAAGGGATTGTTAGTTTTCAACCTCTGATTCTGGCAATCTAATTAAAGGTGGTTTTCATAGACTAATTCAACCTTTAATTATACGTTCTAAATACGTAATTCCCTTTTTTATTTAATCATATTTACCTTATAATTGAAAGTGGAAAACTATATTACTCTATAGACAGAGAATCTATAAGTTATAAAGATAGTGTAACCTTTGTTAATAATATATTAATGTCTGAAGTTGAGTGGAAAAAATTATTCTCTATAAACTTTGTTACGGGCCTGTGTCAGACCCGCCACGTGTCATCAGAGGTGACCCACACCAAGTCACGCTTCGGACGAGGTGACTGCTCATGGGACGAGCTGGCTTCATGCAGAAGTGATCCCAACAAAACAAACCAAATAGGCGTCAGCAAACGAACCGAATTCATCCGCAAATATGTCGACTATGCAAAGGCCCGCACTTCGCTTCTACAACGCCTCACCTGCTTCACCACGCCTCATTGAAGATATCTTGTACAAAGATCTTTCCAAAGGTAAACCACTGACTGATGACACGTATGGCAGGATCCAACGGTCAAATCAGCTATTTCTGTCAGAAACATTCAATGCCAGCCAACCTATAGAGGGACGGGTTGACACCTAGGATGGGGCGAGCCTTGAGGATTTGGCAACACATGTCTCCTCATCCAGCGGCTCTCATCTTTCCATCCATAATATAAATATCCTCTCCTTGTGCCGAAGAATGATTGGAATCCAATACATTCAAAACTACTACTACACTACGAAATGAAATATTTTCTTCCCTTGAATATTAACATCTTTCGATACACTCTTTGTCAACCACTTCTCGGCGAGCGTCCCACCGCCAGTGAACTCTTTTCCGATTGAATCTTAAATTGACTTGGCCGTCGGAGTGCTTGCAGTCGCTCCCAACCCCTCCGGGAAAGGTCACGAGTGACTACGACATGCCACGTGTGTAGAAATAGTTGACTTGGAGATATTTTCTGTTGATCACGTGTCGAAACCATTTTTCGAGATCAACAAGCTTAATTTCAGATAATTTTTAAACTAATGATTGACTCAAAGAGCATGAAAATTAAATATTTGAAAATGTTATGAAGGAATTTGCCTTTTCGTAAGTAGAGGGGATAAGTGAAAGGACATCTGAGCTTAGGATACGTAGCCGCGGCGGATGGGATCCATGTTTACCCCCTCCTTTTTTTTTTTTAATTTGGCCTTCTTGTTATGCCTTGTTTGGCCTCAATATTATCAACCTAATATTACACGTAACCTCGATTTTTTTTTTAACCACACATTTTTCTAAAAAAATACTATTCCGACTATTAAAATTTCAAATAATGGGAGTCAAATGGAAGCTAATTTTTATTGTAATTTTGAAATTTTTAGTAAAATATATCACTGGCATATAAGACGAACTTTTAAATAAGAATCAATAGAAGAACATGAAATTGGCTAGTTATTCAAGAAGTGTTTGAAGAAGCAATAAGATAAATCCATCGTTTCAGTTTTCGTTCATGTTGTATATTTTAATATTGTAGTTATTATTGAACTTTTTTAAATGTTCTTAGTTGTCATTGAATTTTAGAAATGTCCCGAGTTGTTAATGAACTTGTCAAAGTGTAATCTCATTCGTCAATTCATCACTCGTTATTTTAAAAACACACATCGCTTATGATTTTGGTAACGTGGCATACATGACTTCGAAAATATGCCACACGTGCAATTATTTACGTCATGTCATCGAGTCCTTTAACTTTTAAAATGCTGCATGATAGAGGTACAATATGATAATATTTTGGCAAATGCAATGCTAACTCGAGTTTCTTTTTTTAAATTCAACTAGAAAAAAATAACTCAAGAAACTTTTAAAATTTAAGAGAGGTTTGAATGACATAAGTTTCCTTGTAAACTATTTCTAGTAAAAAGGTGAAATGATGAGAACAAAGGGGAAGGTAGAGATTTGTCTATTTTGAATAGAGAGGTCACGCAGGCTCACCTGTCCAAACCCATGAATTCAAAGCCAAGGAAAATCTGCAACAGACAACAAAGCTAACTTCAACAAGAAATATGGGACCTCAACTCCGTTGATTCGACTGCATTAACATTGTCAACAAAGAAGACACGATTTGCAGGCACATACACGGGGTTAGATGTCACGTGAGGGTGCCCAAGTCAAATTATCTTTTCATATATAGCTGTTGCCACGAGGTAGCTGTCACTTCCGTGAGGAATCGGTCAAACCACTATTTGACCGTAAAGACCGGCTTTGTGGGCTCCATTCCACGTGCACTAGGTCCTGTTCTCTCTCTCTCTCGCTGCAAATGGATCAACAACAAAAGAACCAAACTGCTATACCATAGGCAGATAGGCTCTTTTTCTTCCAAACATGAAAATTTTAATATATCTAATTTAATTTATTAGAAACATCTGTATTATTTCTTGTAAAGAAGTGTGTGTAACTTGATATACTCGAATGTATAGTTCAAATGATCATATTGGCAAGATTGGCTAGTGTTGACCCCAAAAAACGAGC